AAAAAAACAACCATTATTTTAAAACTAAATGAGTAACATACTTAACTTCCACTTAAATGACATCCACTTAAATGACATCAAGTAAACTAACTCATCAATTCAAACTTTATTTATAATCAAACAACTCTCATAAATTTGTCATTTCAAAATATAAAAATTATTTTTAAAAATTTATGTGCCTATTATAAAAAAAATTACATTTTTTATTTTTTATGATCATAGTGGATATCATTCATTCATCAACATTTACCAAAAATATGGCAACCGGCAGCTCAAATCAGCAATGTACAAGTCATAAACACTTGAATGTTACCAAACAGCCAAAAGTGGGGTGATGTTATTGTTACACCTTCAATTACTTATATTATATTTTTTTATTTTAATTAATTATTATATTTTTTAATTTATTAAGAAATAAAAAATATATTTTTTTATATGGATTACATAATGAAAAACAACTCACTTATTTTTTATCTCATTCCACTCGCATGCCAAGCGATTCAAACTTAAAATCTTTTATTTTTGATATAAAGAGATTACTACTAAATTATTTAATTCACTAAGAAAAAATATAAATTTTTGGATAGAGTATAATGTAAAAGTCTAATAAATAATTATATTAAAAAAAATACAACATTAACAATTTATGATTTGATAATAACACACCACCAAAAGTGGCCTTCAGTACGTGATGTTGCATCCTCTGCACCAGCACATGGCTGACTTTATTGGCTCCGTTCACGTTGCACATGTTGGAAATGGACCATTTATTGCTTGTTTTAATCTCACATTTCTCGCTTCATTTATTGCATCATTTGCCGAAAAAATTAGGTAAGTAATATTATATAGATATTAAGTATAATAAATATATATATATAATTTTAATTATATAATTATACGATACAAATCAATTAAATAAGTAAAATAAATGATTCTAAATTTTAACATTTGGTGTTGGACTTAATACTTATAAGTGTATATTACTTTCAAACCCCGTCACTTCCTTAACAAGTACAATACTTTTTTTTTTTATTTTAAGTGCAAAATAAAAGATAATCATCTTTTATCTTTTAATTTTTATCTCATTTTACTTACATGTAACTTAAATTTAAAATTTTTTATTTACAATAAAAAATAATGATAACTGAACTATTTATGTTGTTGATTACGACTACAGTATTTTTAAAGTAATAGTTTTTACTCGTATCCGACGCTCACCCCAAGTCTTACCGGAAGGCTAGGCGTTAGCCCAATTTACTTGGGGCCCAGCCCAGGGTCCATGGGCTACATCCATCCCGCCCACGAAAACAATTAGGTTTTTTTACAAAAACGAGGAAATTTCGTCTTCCCGCCTTTGCGCTCCCTCTAGTATTTGTTTTACTTTGAGAAGAAAAAAAAAAAAGAAAAAAAAAGAAAAAAAAAGAAGAGAGAAAGAGAGGAGAGAGTGTGTGTTTGTTTGTCTTTGTGTGATAGCCAGCTGCCTGCTACGAGCTAAGAGAGACTGCTTGACCAGGGTTTCTGAGGCGGAAACAGAGAGAATGTGATGTTGGTTGAGGAGCTTCACTGGTGATGGATACTCCAGATAGAGATAAGAACCACAACAACACCCCTTCTTCCCTCTCCAAATTCGAGGTTTTCTCTGCAAATCCATCCTTTCCCCCCTTTTTTTCGTTTTCGTTCCCTTTCACTGCTTGGGTAGCTCATGGAATTTTATGCAAGTGTTTTGGGTGTAGATTCGGGTCCTAATCATGATTTATGAAGTGGGGTTTTTTTTTTTCTTTTTTCTTTTTGGGGAAAATTCTGTTTTATTTTTTATTTTTTGGTTTTCCTTGTGGATTGATGGTAATTAGGCTTGAATTTGATATCTGAGGTTTATACTAGCTGGGTTGTGGCCTTGCAGTTGTGAATTGCATTAATTTAGTGGAATTAAAGAATACCCATTTCCATTCCTAGAAATTTTAGGTTGTTGTTCAGAAAAAATCAAACTACTCTTTAATGGGAACCTGGAATTTTACATATTCAAGCAAGTTCATATTAAGATACATTGGAACTTTTGGAATCTTAGGTTGTTTCGTTTTAGCAAAATTAGTCATATCAAAAGGGCTCTTATGTTTCTTCTCCTCCTAATTGGAATCAGCCTTTTTTTTTTTTTTTTTTTTCTCCTGGTAGATTAGCTTATGATTTCTTATATATTGTTTATTTTTTGCTTATTAGGTTGTTTGAAGTTTTGTGCTATGGTTAAAAATGTTGTTTGTTGGTGTGCAGGATTCTCCTGTCTTTAGGTACATTAGTAGTCTTTCTCCCATTGAACCTGTCAAGTCCATTCACACTGGTCATGTCTTCAACTCACTGACTCTTGCATCCCCTTCGACATTGTTTCCCTCCCCACAGATTGGCTCTTATAAGGAATCTAGGTTTTCAGTTAGAAGGTAAACCTAATCAAAATTTCTTGCTTTAACACCAAAATGAAGTTTTTCCTTCAAAACTCAAATGTTCCAATGATGTCTGTCTTCTTATTGTTACCTCACAGGCCTCAATTCTTGGAGGGATCTAGTTCTGATCTCCCTCAAAGTGAAAGTGAAAACAAAACAGCTGAAGGGGATTTGGATGTCGTGAAGCAATCAGATCCTCTAGAAAAACAACTGGAATGTATTACGAATGAGGGTTCAGTTAGAGAAGCTACTTCGGAACCACATAATGAGGAATTGGATTTAGCTATTGAGTTGCCGAAAACTTTGAAATATGATTGTGGAAGCCCTGATAGCAAATTATTGCCTTCTGATGAGGCACCAGAAGATGCTGGAGTCGAAGTTGCAGGTCCACAGGGATCTTCTGCTGATTACCATAAGGACAAAATGAAAGAGAGGCAAACTTCATTTGAAAGTGAGATAAATTTGCGAAAAGTGTGTCATGTTAAGCAAAATGAAGAAGTAGAAGGATATGATTGGATGAAAATGGTTTCTGATGCAGCTGATCTCTTGAACTTTAATTCACCCATTACCGGTGAACATTCTGAAGGGCAGAATCAGAAAACTGCCGATTCTGGTACTCTTTCTTATATATCCACCTTGTTACAGCTGCCACAAGATCCTACCAATGAATTTGAGAATGTGGAAGATGGTTGTCCTGGTGGTTTCTGCAAACAAAGTGAAATGGGAGAACCAGTGGCAGATCAGATGCAGGCCATTCTATCTTCCAGTATACTGGATAATGATCCAAGTTTGAAAGTGGATGACAAGGGGGAGACTTGCAGCCAATTCAGTAGTGAGGTAAGCCTCAAAATTACTGCTTTTTAGTGTTTAACCTGTATTTTGATTATAGTTTTACATTTAATTTATTTAGTATATAATAAACATAGAAGTACGCAGTTGATTGACACCCTGAAAGATTTATACCTTATGAGTTATAACTGATCTAAAATACTTTCATGGTTCTCTCTTACATATTTTGTTGTCAGATATCATACTTCCTTCAGATATCATATTTCCTTCATGGATCTAGCTGTAGGTTTAATTCCACACCTGCAAATTAAAATATAAAGAATTAGCCTTATTTTATGCAAAAATCTCTTGTCATTAAATTGCAGAGATTATAAAATAGAAAGGGACTGATTGTCACCAAAATTCTCTACATATGGCTTATCTTCTTACTTACTATTACTGTTATTGTGAAGATTAAAAGAAATGGCATAACTTCCATAAAGTTCTAATTATCTCTGGGATGCCTAATGTATTTTCTTGTTTGGTGCATCAGTGGTTCTGTGTATTTATGTTTAACATCTTTTATACAGCAGCGTAGCATACGAAGGCGCTGTCTGGTGTTTGAGATTGCAGGATCTCATAAAAGGAAGCAATTACAAGAGTGCAGTTCTCCAACCTCACAGGGATCTGAATTTAAGGTTTGCAATACTGAAAAGAATTCTGTTTCAACAAAGACAGGAAATAGTCATTCGCCAACCGTTCCACGTGGTATTGGCTTGCACTTGAATTCTCTTGCAAATAGCTCAAAATGTGGAAAACTTGTTGAGAATGAGACTCCAACTTCTGGAAAGCAATCAATAAGCCTGTCAGGCTCCTTGATGTGGTCTAGTTTTCGGACCGCAGAAAATCCTCTCAATAAATCCTTGCCTCCAAGCTCGATAAACATGAATGTGGTTCCTCATAGCAGTGAAACTATGGTTATTGAAGAATCTCCCCAGATGTCAACTGCTTTTGTTAGTAATGAGGCTGACTGCACTAGTCCCAGGAAGAAGAGGCATGCATGGAATTTATTGCTTTTTACCATTCATAACAAAATCCTTTGATCTGCACTTTTTGATTTGAGTTTAATGCTTTGTAGGCATAAGCTTGAACATGAGGAGAGTGCATCATGCAAGCGCTGTAATTGCAAGAGGTCAAAGTGCTTGAAGCTGTAAGTTTATCATATCAATATTTTTTTAATTGCACTGTTACACATAATATCTAGTGTCTGACAATGTTCATCAGGGTTAGTTCTTCTATTCATGATGCTTAGCCCACCAGATGTTTTTCATTGTCACATTGCTGATGTTTGTTTGTTTATGATGAAATCAAAATTCAAATAAAGTTAGCCATTGCCTAATCCTTCCTTCAATTTATTGCAAGCACCAGTTTCCTTTTTACTACTAGTTCAACTGCTTTTCATATTGTTCTTAGTCTCACTTGCTATGATCTATGATACAGTTATTGTGAATGCTTTGCTGCTGGTCTGTACTGTATTGAGCCTTGTTCATGTCGAGATTGCTTCAATAGGCCTATACATGAGAACATTGTTCTAGACACTCGCAAGCAGATTGAATCTCGTAACCCTCTAGCATTTGCGCCCAAAGTGATTAGAAGTGCAGACTTGGATGCAGATTTTGAGGTTAGATTTTATTAGCATTTAAGCTATTAGCCAATTGGTAATGAGTGGCAACATACTTTTGCCTTGAAGTCACCATGGCCCATATCCTCTACCTATTCTGGTACAGCTTGATCTCATTTGAGTGAAGTATCTGGTGAAAATTTACTAAATATGCTTGTTGCTTGCCAACTTATCTGGAGGACTGCTTAGGTTCTTAACATCTCCACTTTCCATAAATTGACAAGTTATTTGCTCATGCCTCATGCAGGGCGAAAGTAACAAAACTCCAGCTTCAGCCAGGCATAAAAGAGGATGCAACTGTAAAAAATCAAGTTGCTTAAAGAAGTATTGTGAATGCTTTCAGGCATGTCATTGACAATTATCTCATTCTGTATAACATTTATTTTTCCCTATATCTTACATAAGTGTTGCCTTTTGTGTATAAAGGGTGGTGTTGGATGCTCACTTAGCTGCAGATGTGAAGGATGTAAAAATACTTTTGGTCGGAAGGATGGTGAGTCTGTTTTTGTTATTCATTCAAATGTTAGTGAACTGAACAGATGATCCCACTTTTCTGGTGTACTTTTTACCTTTTCATTTAGCTTATTAGAGCGGTAGAGTCAAAATGATTTAACTGCATTGCATTTGCTAGTAGTTCATATGTAGCCTTTTTATTTTTGGCTCCCTGTTGGTTCACATGTACCCTTTTTTGTTCAAACAGGAGCTGATGTAGCCGAATCTGAAGAGGAGTTTGATTCCTGTGAAAACAATGCTACAGAAATTAATTCAAGTGACAATGCAATCAAGATGAATGATCAAGAATGTTCAGATCTTTCAAAACCTTCCTCTGAAATTGATAGGTATTATTTCACCATCCTTTGCTCGGTTAGGATATTGATATTCTAACGTGTCCTAGATTCCTTTGATGAATGTTAAGCCTACTACATTTTACAGGCCCCTGATTCAGCAGCCATTTGCTTATATTGGGAAGCCTCAAGGATCTCTTCCCTGTGCTGTTGCTTCATCTTCTCAGTTGTGCATAACTGGAAAACTTGGGATTTCAAAATTTTCCTCAGGTCAGACCAGGTTTAAAACATCTCTTCAGGCGATCCCAGAAGGCGAAACTCCTGAGGTTCTGAAAAGTGATTGCTCATCTCCAGGTCAAGTGAAGGCAACCTCTCCAAACTCCAAGAGGATTTCACCTCCACACCATGAGTTTGGTTCATCAACATCTTGGCGTGGTGGTAGAAAGTTGATATTGAGATCTATCCCACCATTTCCGTCACTCTCCTCAGCAGAAAAGTAGTGATTTTCCTGAATTCTAGTTCTCAGTTTCTTCACCATGCTGGCTGATGTTCCCTAATTTTATGAGTTTTTAAGGCAATTAAGTATGTCTCAGTTCTCATGTAGAGTAATAATGTTCTCCCACTGTTTGTGATGCTGTTAATGTATTCAACTCTTCGTCTCCAAACAACTCTCAAACCCCATAGAAACGACTGCCGCCTTTTTCAAGAATGTTGTATAAGTCGAACCCTGTTACATTGGTGTTTTTTTTTTTATCCAAATATGATTTATTCTGTTAAACTCTAATGTTTGAGTTATGTTTAATAGTTTTATAATGAATAATGATCAATAATATTAAAATTTGAGATTAAAATCTAAGATTAATGATACGATTATATTATATCATTTAAAATATTAAAAAGTTAATTTTATATTATTTAATATTAATATTTTTAAATTATTTTAAACTTGTGATATTATATATATTAATTGATTTAATTACATATTATATTTTTTAAATTTTCATATTTTCTATCATTATTCTTTTATAATAAGTTGAAAAGCTTAAACAAGGCATTCTTTCTTAATCAAGGAGAATGTAATTCAAATTTTTTTAAGTAAATTTCAAATTTGGTTTTGACTTAGATTATTAAGTTTACATGAGTAGAATGAAAATATTATAATTATAAATATTAATATTTACCAATCAAATCTACAAAAAAATCAAGTAAAAAAATATTTTAAAATTATTTTGTTTTAATAAAATACTATAAGAAAAAATTAAAACATTCTTATTCTTACTTTAAAAATAATTAAGATATTTTAATTTTTTTCAATGTAACTTTATTAAAATTACATAATTTTTAGATATTTTTTTGATTAATTTTTTATAATATAAGTTGTTATTTATTTATTTTTAATAGTATTACATAATTTTATAATTTTATAATTTTATATAATATATATATAATATCTACAAGATTACCTTTATTGGGCTACACTATTTCTACACCGTCGC